TCTAGGCGGACATTTAGCGAAAAATCGAAAGTATGGTTTTTTAAAATTAAAATAGTGTCAAATATACTTTGACAGATGGGCTATCTAATGGTGAAAAAATTTTTATTCTACGACTTTTCCTTCCGGAGAAATTCGAAAAAGAAAATAACAAAAGATAAAAAATATGCTGGAAAACAGTTGTGTACAATCGAAACGCGCGAGTTAGCGGAGGTGCAAACTCACTTATTTTTACGCCATAATATTCCTCAGATCATTGTGAATCTATACTGATCTCACAACTTTTTCTACAGTTAGTTATAGGTTTTCCAAAAAAACCCTGGGTTTTCTAGCTAAAATTGACTTTTCTCGCCCTAGAAGTAATATTTGCAGACAATTTATACATTTTCGAATCAGCGTGAAAAACTGCATCGAGTGATGTATAATAATATTTATTTAAGTGTAGGAAAAAATTTTGAACTTGTATATAGCCAAGGTTTTCAAAGGTTGTCACATAAATTTTGCCAAGGAAAGAGAAAACCTCTGTTATTATTTATTTCTGCTTCTTCACACACACTGTTCTATTCTTTATTTTCTCACATTTTCATAAAACGTGACTAAAAATTGATTTGAGCAGAACAAGTTGAGTTTTCATCTAATATTAAAAAATTCACTGTTCGCTCAAAAAACATCAGAACGAGTTCAAAACTTCAAAATGCAGAATATTTAAGCTATTCTATATTCTATTTATAGGAGATCTTGAACGAAATTTTACAAAACCCTAGGGTTTTCCAAAAGGGTTTCTGGAAAACCTATTAAGAAAAATATGCTTTTCGATTTTTTCGATCTTATAATTACATTTAGCGGACAATATTAATTATATCCGGAGGTTTTAAGCTTGTTCTGATGTATTTTGAGTGAATAGGGAATTTTTTAATATTAGATGAAAACAACCTGAAACCCTAATTTTCGTAAAACTCGCTTTTCGATAGATTTTTAATATTTTTTGTAAAGAAAAATATTGTCACGAGACTCAACATGGTCGATTACGCATAGTTCATCCGTTTTCAAGGCTACCAATAGTCACCGGACGCCAGTCCTAACACTCGTAGGAAATCCGATACGACGCCTGAACCGCCGAAAATCAAGGTCTCACTTTACTGCAACATTTCGATGAATATTGACGAAAACTGCAAGACGTTTGATCGAGATATTTGAACATTACGAAAAACTTTAAAAGTTATAGTTTTGCAGCTGGACCAAATTATTCAGTTTTCAAGACGTGTATCTCGGTAATGAATGACACCTATGAATTAATTTTGTCTTTTTTTGCCTAGTTTTAGTTTCAAATTTAAATTATGAATTATTTTGTACAATGCATTTAGTTTTATCATCTGGACAAATTCACAATTTTTTATTCTGAATCCATTTACACACTTTTATCTTTTATATCGTATCAAATGAGAATAGATAAAAAGTTCTACATCAAGATAAGCACACGATCACGCTTATATCACCTTTTCAGCGTAAATATTTTGAAAAAATAGTAGAACTTTATTAACAAATATTGCTTTCTTGTGTGGTGTTGTGTTGTCACATTGTCATAGTGGAAGAAACATTCACCATTTAATAAGGGATAACACTTAATGAAAAGTTATTTAAAGAATTAGTTTTTTCCAGCAAAGACTAACAATAAACTTACGAGGAAAAGTCTCCAAGTGTTACTCTCACTTTTCAATGGGACATATCCTAATTTGTAGACCTCGATGAGCTGATTACGATGGCATAAAGCATTTCCTCCCATCGCTCTTGAAGACCCTGTTTGCTAGAAAACCAGTTGTTCAGAAATTCTAAAAAACAACCAAAACCTTTCTTAACGAGGCGTAATTGTAGCACGCACATTTCTGATTAAAATGAGACATCTCCCAGCTCTACACGACCTTTCTTTGTAAAATTATAGAATTTACAAGAAAAGCCCTAAATGTTCATTATCAGCTCAAAGGTACAGAAATAAGAAGAAATAACTTTAGGACTTTTCCTGTAAATTCTATAACTTTGCAAAGAAAGATCATGTAGAGCTGGGAGATGTCTCATTTTAATCAGAAATGTGCACGCTACAATCATATCTCATTAAGAAAGATTTTGATAATTTTCTGTTGCTGAAAAACTGGTTTTCCAGAAAACAGGGTCTTCACGAGCCATGGGAGAAAATACTTTATGCCATCGTAATCAGCTTGTCGAGCTCTACAAACTAGGATATGTCCCATTGAAAAATGAGAGTAAACACTTGGGGATCTTCCCTCATTAGTGGCATATGATCGAAATTCATCGTTCAAGTTTATTTTCACAAAATTGTGAGAAGTAAAGTTCATAATCGAGATCAGAGAGTTTCAATGAAATCATTATGTTTAACATAAACAGATATTGCAATATTTATGTTAGTTTTTCATATATATATATTTGAATGAATATGTTTACATAGTGTCTAACTATAAAGTTTGAAAATAATGAGAACAAGTCAGGAAAATAGAGATATCAGTGGTTGAAATACGTTCACACTAGTTAGTCAGCGAAAACATTAAAGATAGAAAAAAAATGTCCAACTCGACGGGAGGGAATCAGAAAATTTTCAGTTCTGTCAGATGGAGCATAAAATTTTTTTCTGCCTGTGAGAATATCTGTTCAAGATCTCATACGAATCCTCTATGCATTTACATAGTCATATGTAAAAATATAATTCCCATTAGTCAAGAGTCAATCAATTTATTTTGAACATATATTGAACAACTACAATTTGATTTTGTCAGTGTGAATAGCACGAAACATGTCCACATATTAGATCATTATTGCTTGTATTAAAAAATTTTTTTTTATAAAATATTTTGTTTAACATTGTTTATCGCAAAAAAAAAATAATAATTCAACAAACCAAAAAAATATTTTTAAAGTTTAGTTAGTAAACAAACTATAAAAAAGAAACAAATATGAGTAAATTAAATAATAATGTACATAAATATAAACATAGACGAAATTCAAAAATATGATAAAATGTAGTGGAAAAACAGGCATTAAAAATACACAATACATCACTTTGTTTGACTAAACAACACGGTAAGAAAAGAAACTTACTTACATAATAATATGAATAGAAAAGTAAAACAAAAACAAAAAAAGACTATAACAAAACCTGAAAAAGCCACAATCCTTTTCTCATACTCAAACACTGTTCGAAAGAAATATAGTAAAAGAAAACTGTTTAGAAAACTAACAAAAACAAGAAAAGACAATGATAAAAAACGGTTACAAAACAAGACAGTAAAAACATCCACTTAATTCTATATAAACAGCCTAAAATTCACATGTACATACAGACAAACAAACACGTAAAAATAAATAAATATTTATGGTTTGTCACTATTGATCATCTCAATCCTAATATAGATCGAAACAAAAAAATGAGGAGTATAAATATTCTTTCTCATCATAACGATCAGATGATAAATCTTTGATGATATGAGTATGCGTAGTAGACAAAAATATTCTAATTTATAATGAAAATGAAATCAGATAGAATCACTATCTGATTTTATTAAATAAATTAAGTACACTGTTTGATTCTTTATTTGCACGACATTTTGTAAATACATTCCAAAATCTCAATGTTTCATCACCAGCACCAGTGACAATCGATTCACCATCGGGACTTACTGCCAAATATAACACACGAAATGTATGACCGGTTAAACGAGCTAATTGTAACATTGTCGGATATTTCCAAACAATAATTTGATTTTGAGAATAGCCATGTGTCGATACAAGTTCATTCGAATGTTTAGACCATGCCAGATTGCATACTTGAGAGCCGGTATCAATACATTGTAAATTTTGAGCTGTAAGTGTATTCCAGAAACGAATATAACGATCTGCTGTTCCACCACCCGATGCTAAAGAATAGAAATATTTGACATCATTTAATGAGCACTCGAATTTTCACTGACATCGTAATGTTTCTTTCAGAAAAGCGAGGAACATCAAAAAAATTTTACGAGGCGTAGGGAGTAAAAAAGAGGAGCCATTTTCTGGCCTAAAACAAGTACCGATAATGTTGTGTACATGCCAAAGTGATTTAACACTCGGAAATAATTTCATCTCACTTAAATATATTTTTTTCCGTGTGCTTCACAACTGAGACAAACACAGCAAAAAGGAGTCGTTCTAGTTTCAAAAATGAATGTAGATGAACTTTGTGGTTATATGAGACGACGATGTTGAAGAAATGAATGCGCTATTTCAACTCTTTTTTTTTCATGATGTTTATCTTTCTTCATATCTGCACGATCGACTAGCATCCTTTGTTCTCACAATCCAACTACACAATAACCATACGAATGTTGATTGCTTTAAACATCGGCTCATAGGGACTTCATCTACTGTTTTCTGTAACTACAAGTGATTGAGTTTTGTTTCATATGATGGCATTGTTAAAAAAATATATCTAAAACTACTTTCAGAGCTAAACATGGCTGGAATTCAGGTATTTTTGCTAAAAAGTCTCAAAAAAAGAGGAAAAGAAGACAAATTCGCCCAAAGGGAGGAGAAAGAGTCGTATGAGCGAGATTCACCAATTGTCCAATCGCTTTTGAGACACAACCTAGTGGGCGATAAGTAATCGACGATACTGATTCCCAATATCGCTATGAGACGGGCAGTTAGACCTACAGAGACTCGTTTTCTGGAAAACCAGTTGTTCAGAAACTCTAAAAAATAAACCAAAACTTTTCTTAATAAGGGCTGATTGTAGCCTGCAAATTTCTGATTAAAATGAGACATCTCCCAGCTCTACATGACCTTTCTTTGCAAAGTTATAGAATTTACAAGAAAAGCCTTAAATTTATTTCTTCTTATTTCTGTACCTTTGAGCTGATAATGAACATTTAGGGCTTTTCCTGTAAAATCTATAACTTTGCAAAGAAAGGTCGTGTAGAACTGGGAGATGTCTCATTTTAATCAGAAATGTGCGTGCTACAATTACGTCTCGTTAAGAAAGGTTTTGGTTACTTTTTAGCATTCTTGAAAAACTGATTTTTCAGAAAGCGGGTCTCTGGAGGCCTAACTGCCCGTCTCATGTTAATATTCGGAATCAGCATGGTCGATTACCTATCGCCCACTATGTTTCGTCTGAAAAGCGATTGGACAGTTGATGGCCGTCCCTCGTTAGAAGCATTACGATGCCAACTTTCAACTATTTACCTAGTAGTCCTTGTTGATGTGGCGACCATGCAATTGCTTTAACAGCTGCTGTATGATCCGTATACGTTTGAATTGGTGTTGAACATGATTGATTCCATACTAATAAACGATTATCATTTCCACCCGATGCTAATAATTGCCGATCAGGTGACCATTTTAAACCGCATACTTCTTGTCGATGCCCAGCTAATTTTCGTTCCTGCTTATTTGAGCGTGTATCATTTTGAATGATAAATCGATCACGTGAACCACTATAAATACACATATCATTCCATGCTAAAGCACCGACACGTGCCGTATGACGAGGAAACGAAATGGTTTTACGATGTGATTGTGCATCCCAAATTTGAACAATACCTAAAATAAAATAGAACTTTAATATTTAAAAAATTGTAAAAAAAATGTTTATTTTACCTTTATGTGTTCCAACTGCTACAAATTGTCCTCGATCTGACCATGCCACACTTGTCACTGTATCTGATTCGGATTGTAAATCACATAATCTTGTCACATTTGATGTATTCGCATTCCACAAATAAACAGATGCATTCAAGCCTACGGCTAAAATATTGGTTGATGACCAATCGACCAAATTCAAATAAAAATCATCTTGTAATTCTGGTGCATCTAATACTTTAAATGGTGTTTTGGGAATTTTACGTAATTGTTTTCGAGGAGAACGTAAAAGTTTGATTGATGATGGTGAAAGAGGTGAAAGTGTGTAGGGTGAATAATGCAAATCATTTGAATTACGTTTAAGAGAATATTTAAAAATTGTATTTGGATCACATAAACGGAGAATATTTGGATTAGTGTTCGTATAATTAAGACGAAATGAAGATGGTAAAGACGTAGATGAAGGTGAAAGAAATAATGGTGACTGAGTTCCAAAATTTGTACCTCAAAATAGAGAGAAAAGCAATTATAATGATAATTAAAGGTAGTGTTTGTTAACAAACCTGCTGTTGTATTATTCAATGTGCTCGACGATGGTGTTAGAGTTGTTTGTGGATTTGATCCAGTATTTATATCCGTGTTTGTCGAATTATTTCCAGTTATGCCACCACTACCATTTAATCCACTTACTCCTATTTGTTCGTCATAAATTGTATCGATCCTTGTTCCAAACATTTCATTTTGTAATAGTGCTTGATAAGTTAAAATATCTTTTGTTCGATCTGATGAACCTGAAACAGAATACTAAAAGTTATTTATTTACAAAAGTGTTTACTTACAGAATTATAAACTATACCAGTAGTTGTTGTTGATGATGATGTGGCATCACGTGTATTTATTTGTTTTTTTTCCATAAGTGTCGAATTTCTTGTCGACATATCTTGTTCAATATAGTAAGCATTTGGTTGACTTAAACATCGAAGAGGAATGAAACGATCACTATGTTTAACAGGAGTGGAAATAGGAGAAGAAAATGGTGATGAATTTAGTGAACTTTGACCAGACATTGACATGAGTAAACGACGTTCAAAATCGGGTTCCATGACAATAATGTGAAGATAAAAACTAGAGAAAAAGAAATACTATTAAAGTATATTTATTGCAGATAATTTTAGAATTATTAATAACACGGATAAAATAGTTTGGCTGATGACATCTAGAAACAGAAGAGTGTACAAAAAAAGGTTAATTCAGATTATGAGTAGCTTGTAACACTAATGATACCACTTTTCAAAAAAGAAAATGTAACGCAAAAAGCATGTTAAAAATGTTGAATTAAATATATCAGTATCTTTTTTCAACAAATAATAATACAATCCTTTTAGCGAAGCAATCCTCCATCCAAATGTTCATTTGAATACAACGCATCAGAAAAAGCTTTACATAATGATGAAAGATGTTATATACGACGACGTTATGTTGCAAAGAGGTATAAAGAAATTTTATTTTTTTTTAGACTATAAGATAAAGCAATAGAAACGGTTAAAAGACAACTGATATTCTTTTGTTCCACAAGTTTTTCAAGGAAGCAAAGATTCGTTTACGAGCAAATAAGCCATTAGCGAAGCTTCTATTCGCTACAAAGTCAGGTAGATGTTTCATAAAAATTCTTAAGTACTCGACTTAAGTCCCCGTTTTGTACACATACGTTTTATTTTATAAACTTAAGTCGAGCACTTAAGAATTTTTATGAAACACCCTTCAGAGCGCCAATAAAGACTTTATTTAGAACAACAAGAAAAATCTAAACAAATCTTCTATTGTGACTAACAGAAGCTAGAGATAGCTTTGACGCGTGAGTTTACATCAAAAGCATCTCAATGTATATCTTAAATGGAAATTCTCAAGATTAATTATCTTGCTGCCACTGACATCCTAACGCTATCACCAAGAAGGTGATTAAACTGTCAAGAGACCTGAAGTATTGAATCTGAATAGAAATACTCTTCTGATATTCAATACATAATAATAACCACATAATGATGTTGCACGATGTTTTGCTTGCAATGCAACTCGCTACACACAATTTTCAAAAATACAGCTTTTTTTTGCGTGAAAAGTTTAATACAAGTGAGAATACAATGCATGTTTAGTTATTGTATGTGTTACATACTTATTCTCTTGCTTAACTCGTTGTAACAAGTTACCTGTCAATAGTACCTGCGAAAAATGGCCGCCGTCGATAAAAAATTTTCTGCCTTTCTCACTGCTCGTTGAATAAGATTTCATGCAATGTCTTTACAGTTCAATAGATGTCGCATGATTCTGAATATGGTCTTCGAGCGCAGATATTATGCATGGTAAAAAGCATTTTGTTAATTTATATTTGATGTAATATCTTCGGATGCAGGGAAAACTTCAGATTAGATGTTAGATGATTCATTGCATCTTATTAATAACTCGCATCTTGTCGCAGGAAACCTTGAGCATGGAATACATTTTTACTCTAGTCATTGTGATTTTTTTCCCAATACTGTTTAAATAGTAGCGTTCATATACTGGTTCTGAAACCGTGAAAAAAGATTAAAAAAGTTGAAGAACCCAGACTAAGAAACATCAGGATGAACTCAGGCACTTTTAAAAGCGAAAGGTGTTTGAAAAAATTTATCTCTGGATTCAGTGGCGTCCATCCTTTAGTGTACTTAAGGCAAACTACCTTAAATAAAAACTTTTTGCGAGGTATGAACCCTGACATGAAAGGAAGAAAGAGAACTTAACTTATCAATCTAAGATTTAAGCATTGTGAATTATTGTAACGGTGAGTTTTACTTCAATACTCGGCTAATAATTGTTAAAAAATTCAGAAGTGGGGCGCGATTTTAATGAAAGCAGGGATTGCAAAACGTTAAGTGGCTAATTACCTCAAAGTTTGACGGAGGAATGAACGCCACTGTTTCGATCATTATAAGGTTATAATGATGCACATTATGAAAGAAGTGTTTTAGAGTTATGTTACAATTATTAATTGAAATGAATTAAAAATACACGGGGTATCCATAACGTCCTTTGTATATTTAGGAGTAAGAGGCAGCGGAGTTCACAGAACTCTATATTGATAAAATTTTCAAGATTAGTAGAAATAATTCAAGAATTAACATTGAGTTATTTTTTAGTTTCTGAAATTTCAGAAATTCAGAATTAGCATCAAGTATTCAGAAATAAAAATTAAGCTTTTTCTTAATTCAAAGAATTCAAGAACTGAAAGCAACTTTTTCCAATTTGAGAATATTTTTTCGATTCAACAATTCAGGAATTGACAGGCACCTTTTAATTTTTTCAATTGAAAGAGTACAAAAATTGGAAAGTGGAAAATGTGACTTTTTATGAATTTCTTGAATTCGAAAGGTCAAAACTCTGTGAATTTGTATGGAATCGGTTTGAACTCATGTATTTAGAATACTCACCAATCAGTGAATTGCGCGGATCAAGCGGACTGTAGCACATGGCTCAATGTTGGATAGCGGCTCACTCTCATCGTCCCACTTCACCCCACACACAGCCACTATGGTTACTCAGAGACTTTTTATTGTTACTCTCTGAATTAAAACTTATGTATTCTTTCAATTCCTGAATACTAGAATTTCAAGAATTGTTCAAGCCGATTCGATATAAATTCAAAGAATTTTTGGCTTTTTCGAATTCAAGAAATTGAGAAAAGTCACATTTTCAGTTTTTGAATTTTTTGTATTCTTTCAATTGAAAAAACTCAATAGTCTGGTCAGTTTCTGTATTTTTGAATTAAGAAAAATCCTTGATGGTATTCTTGATTCCTTGAATTGAGAAAAAGCTTGATTTTTATTTCTGAATACTTGATGCTAATTCTGAATTTCTGAAATTTCAGAAACTGGAAAAAAACTCGATGCTAATTCTTGAATTCTTTCTGGTAATTGGGGGACATACAAAACTGAGTGTGAGTTTACAAAAAAAACGTATCTCTTTTGAGACGTACACTATAATCTTGAATTAATTTCTAGCTTATAGAAAATTGCTGGGGATTTTCTAGTTTATAGAAATTCATTGACATTGAAAACGTTTACACACGTGCTAAACGCCATATCAATTGGTGAGGTTCCCTCATAAGAAAGATTGACTAAACAAAGATTGAAGTATCGGAGACTGTATTTATTTGTGATAAAACAAAAGAGTGTTGAGAATGTATATAGAAATCAGCGATGAGGAAGAGGATGTTATGTGACCACTACACACGTCAACCAAGATCAATTCTGCACAATAAATATAAAAATTAGTTTATTCCGGGATCGATTCTGCCGAAAATACTTTTTTTCGAAATCCGGGATCATTTCTACTATTTTTATCAAAATTCTAGTATACGGGAGCCATTTTGCAATTTTTACGGGATCCTTTCTGTTTTTTTCCATTTTTGTCTTCGTGTACTCTCAAACCGTTTTATATACTTTATTCAAAATCGCAGACACGTAAAGACTTATTTCGTCTAGAAATAGATTCCTAAGCGCCTCTGAGCGTCTACAACATGAACAGAGGCATTTCAAAGGTGATAACAATTTTTTATGTTCTCAATGGTGATTTTTCACTAGAAACTGCCTAAATTATAAAAATTGATATCTTGAGAAAGTTTCGGTTTATAAACCTAAAACTCTCATACGAAATAGGCAACATGTATCTCCATCAATGCTGAAAATTTTACACTTCTAACTGATCAAGATCGTGAGTTATTAATTAATTATTATTAATGACATTTTCATTAATTAACTCATATCTCGGTCAAATGGGTCCATGGGCACAAACCAACTTGGCTTTTTTCACTGCCCACCAGTCCTTGCATG